GCATATCACCCGTGCCAGAGTGGAATAAATTGAGTCGTAGTCATTTTGTTTAGAAGCTTCCGGGTAGCTTATGGTAAATCGTTTTCATTCTACTATGAGAGCTGATATTTTTTTTGTGAATGCACCTTTCAGGAGAGTAGATATAGAAATTTTGTTTCTCTTTCGAGATCGGTCTTTGAGGACTTGCGGTTTAATTGCATTGCCAAAATTTCTTAGAAACATATTATGTGTACATGCTCCATAGATACCCGAGCGCTCTTTTGTGATTGGGTAAAAAATCTCGTGCAACGTGCTTTAACCAATCAGAACTAAGTAGTCTTCTTTCCATCCAATCACGTGCAAAACGAAAGCTGTTGTGAGCTGAAGGAAGTTGCTGCACGTTTCCCAGCAGTTACATATATCCTGGGATACGTGAGTTTACTTCGGTTTTCGTTTGTTTATTAAATTTCCCGCTCTCAACTATCTAAAGCTCGAGAATATCTTAAAAGAAAAAAACAGATCAAAAGTAATTTTTTGACGCAAAGAAGAGGGGAAACTACCTCTGAAGCACTTTTTTCACACGTTTACCCCGGATCTTCGCGAAAAGGAAATAAACCTTTTTTTAGTACATCAGGTGGTGTTCTTTATCTCATCAAAAAAACCTTCCGTGAAAAGCGCTCTGTATATAACTGGTAAATGTGTTCTCTTGTTGCAGTCCCATCACTCCAGAGCGTTATGGCACAGCTATCAGTTTCAGGTTTAGTCTTACTCAAAAATGAATATTCACAGACGCACCGCGTGTTCAGTTTAACATCGGTCCAACGGTTATTGACGTCGGGCAGATGGTTTCATAGGAGTTTTAGCCTATTTAGTATTCAGTCTTATCTTATTCCATTCTCCTCGTGTCTTTCAAAAGATTGCTTAAGAAGTTTGGTTTTTTCAGCATTGACTTTGGCGTAGTTTTCATCGTATTTTTTAGCAGACAACACTGGAAAAGAAATTGACTCCTGTAATTTTACACTTCGCCTTAAATCATCTACAAAATGTAGATTTTTGTCATGAAGCCCTGAACTTGAGGCAGGTGATTTAGCTTGATGGTCGATTGCTAAGGACGTAAACTATTCAGAACCTTATGAAACATTTTGTATGACAGCTCGAAGTGACTTGAAAAAACTTGAGTCGACATTATGAACAAA